GAGACCAAAGAATGACTTAACTAAGCAGTTTCTTTGTTAATCCACTAGCACTGAATTCCTATAATCTTCGTTTGATGTGTTTCTCCGTAGGCCACATGTGCCAGCAGCTGCACAGATACGTCTTTGTTCAGCCAATTCTGTCATAACTTTCACAAGAAAATTTAAAGTCTGTTGTGTAACTGTAGCCTTTACAGTAGAATTTGCTGTAGAGCCTATCATGAGGGATATATTGCTAATCATTGCTTCTTTTACTTTAAACCATTATTATTATATTGCTAATCATTGCTTCTTTTACTTCTTTTACTTTAAACCATGGAAAAAGAACCTAATAAATGATGCCCTTCTAGAAGAGTGAAGGCCTCCTGGCAATGTTATCTTTAACCCATGATGTGGGTTAAGACAAATGAACCAATGTTTTGTTTCTGACTGATTATGAGGCGACCATAATGAGGTACCATCAAAGTTTTTTTAAACCTACATTGGGCCTTTGTCCTTTATCCATCAAAGTATAAGGTTCTCCATGTATAAGGCTGGCTGCAAACTCCTTCGTGAATAAAAGTACACCCCGTAAGTGCACAAAACTGACCCCTTTTCCACTTCTATTATTCATAGAGGCATAAGCAAGGGAAAATGTTCAAAGATAAGAGTTTCATGATAGTGGAGGCCTTAATCTGTGAACTTGGGGAAAGCTGTTCACATCAAGGATGCCATCCTCTTCTGGGGAGAAACCTCCCTGCTTAGCCTTACCCCAGGGGTTCCAATGGGTATATAGTTCCAAGAGTATGGAGGGACCCTTCACAGTTTTGACATTATGAACCCAAAGTTCCAGGTCCTGAAGTTTTGTTGCGTGTGGATGGCAAGGACAGTCTTTCTCTGATGTTCTCAGAAGATCTAAACTATAAAAAGCTTTTTTACCTGGTGAAAATACACTATAGGCCGGGCGCAGTGGCTCAAGCCTGTAATCCCAGCATTTTGGGAGGCCGAGACGGGCGGATCACAATTTCAGGAGATCAAGATCATCCTGGCTAACCCGGTGAAACCCCGTCTCTACTAAAAAATATAAAAAGCTAGCCAGGCGAGGTGGCGGGTGCCTGTAGTCCCAGCTACTCGGGGGGCTGAGGCAGGAGAATGGCGTAAACCCGGGAGGCGGAGCTTGCAGTGAGCTGAGATCCGGCCACTGCACTCCAGCCTGGGCGACAGAGTGAGACTCCATCTCAAAAAAAAAAAAAAAAAAGAAAATACACTATAGCATAATAATCTACTGTTATAACATCAGTCCTCTTGCATGGGAAAGCTTTTATACAACCAGATACATGCATTGAACATAACAATTGAATGAAATCCCTTTGTAAAATGTTTAAGTGGCCTACCAGGTGACCAATTTAACCTGAGGCTTTAATTGTTTTCCCAGGAATATGGGATCAAACGTTGGTTATAAACTATGTTAGTAATTTGTAAGTCACTACATCAATGTTTTCAATTTGGATCATTTTATCTTTTCCATGTTGGGTCATGGAATGCAGAACTCTTAATAATAAAAGCTTTAAGGATTCTGGAAGGACAAGGTGGCCATCCTGGTTCTCCATGAGGCCATGCTTAATTAACATTAGACTTATATTATCTTGGATACTAGTTGTTTTTCCAAATTAGGTACATAGCATGGACAAGAAAAAATTTTTTGTGGTTTATAATAACTTAGTATAATAATCATAATTATAATTGATAGCATATACTTAGACATTAGCATTTTAGAAATCCCATACAATTTTATAACACATATTAGTATTCACAAAAATATAACCTAAAGAAGACTGAACATCATTTTTGCAATCCCATGTACTTAAACATGTCAAATAATCCTGTTTACTTCCTTTCTGGATGTTTTCAGGGGCCCTCTGATCTATCCAAAAAATCAGGCATTAGGAAAGACAATTTTGAAACTGAAGTTTGATTTTGAAATTCCAGAGCACCATAAATTATTTATTTTGCCAAAATGACTCAGAAATTAAAAAAAAAAAAACCTTTTATAACCTTTTACAAAACAAAAACGTGCACACACACACACATTCTACTGTTCTTACTGTTCTTATACACCTTGCATGTAAAACTGTGTCTAGTAGTCTTTTTTTTTTTTTTTTTGAGACGAAGTCTCGCTCTGTCGCCCAGGCTGGAGTGCAGTGGCGAGATCTTGGCTCACTGCAAGCTCCGTCCCCCGGGTTCACACCATTCTCCTGTCTCAGCCTCCCGAGCAGCTGGGACTACATGCGCCTGCCACCACGCCCGGCTAATTTTTTGTATTTTTAGTAGAGATGGGGTTTCACCCTGTTAGCCAGGATGGTCTCAATCTCCTGACCTCGTGATCTGCCCGCCTCAGCCTCCCAAAGTGCTGGGATTACAAGCATGAGCCACCATGCCTGGCCTCTAGTAGTCTTAATTGCATGTTATAATGGTGAATTTTAAAGTAAAACTTGGTAAGTTATGTTCTCACAAGGTTTGACTATTTCCAGCATAGCTAGAAGCGTGGCCAACTCCACATGTCCCCAGGCCTTACCTAGCTGGAAAGCAGGCAAGTTAAACAATTTTCAAAAGCCAGAGAAGCAGCTTATGACCTTCAAGCATTTAGCAAACCCAATATTGGAACATAATTTGGGCCACTTGTTTACATTTTGAAGACATTTGTATTTTACCGATAGTCTTTAAAACTGTCTTTATTTCCCAAAGATTACTCAAGTCACATGAACTAAATAAAAGGCATTACATTTTTCACTTTTCCGACAAAATATTTGACTTAAGCTTTTATTATTAAACCGATTAATTTAAAACTTTACAGGGGAGATAAACCATGAATTTTCCTTTATAATTAACCAGTTTGCACAGAGAGAGAGAAGCCAGAGACTGACTAGTAAGAAACTCTTACCCTTTTGCTGGCATGCCAGGTTTCTGCGTTCTCCCTCCCTGAGTGGTCCTAGCGACCCTGCTTAACCATATGCAAACAAACACATGGCCATGAATTAAGAATATTCACAAATAGTTTACAAATTTTGGAGACATTAGGCAGAGAGAGAGAAATATGACTTAAATTCTATTTACGATAGTATACTCAAGACACTTAAATTATCAGGAAGCCTAAAATCCAAAAAGTTAGTTTAAAGATAGAAAGCTGATGTGCTCCATTAATTCCTGTGGGCCTGACAAAGGTAGCTTTGGAATTCCAGATAAATGGAATGAATGATGACTTACTAGAAATACATGGGAAACAAAATAACTATTCACAGAACCAAATAAAAGCCTTGCACTAGGAACTTAAAAAAAAAAAATCATAGTTTTATACATATGGATACACAAGCAAAGCCAGAGGAGAATAAACAGCAAGTAAATGAAAACTAGAAGCCAAAAACAAACAAACAGAAAACCAACCCTAAATTTTCCTACTCAATTTACCCTGGAGGCTACAGTGTTACCTAGGACCCCCCAAAAACCCACATAATGAATATTTTAATCCTGACACATAATTCAGTATCCTTAAGTTCACCAATATTTTCAAACAGCCTGCGCAATTAAGAAATTCACTTTAGACACATGGCCAATAAGTACTACAGCACTATCCATGCAAAACAGTAAACATAGTGTGAAGCAACACAAGCATGTATGTGAGATTTGGCTTTGCACTAAATCCAGCTTCATGCTTAACTGTATTAAAAAAAGAATTGCCAGGCCGGGCACGGTTGCTCATGCCTATAATCCTAGCACTTTGGGAGACCGAGGCAGGTAGATCACGAGGTCAGGAGATGGAGACCATGCTGGTTAACATGGTGAAACCCCATCTCTACTAAAAATACAAAAATTAACCGGGTGTGGTGGCACATGCCTATAGTCCCAGCTACTCAGGAGGCTGAGGCAGGAGAATGGCATGAACCCAGGAGGCGGAGCTTTCAGTGAGCCGAGATCATGCCACTGCACTCCAGCCTGGGCGACAGAGCGAGACTCCATCTCAAAAAAAAAAAAAGAATTGCCAAACTTCCGATGCATTTTTTACAATACTTCTTGTTTTACTGTCGATGAAAAGAGCAAACTCTGTAAAATATTTTAAGAGATTTATTCTGAGCCAAATATGAGTAGCCATGGCCCGTGACCCAGCCCTCAGGAGGTCCTGAGAACATGTGCCCAAGGTGCTTGGGGTGCAGCTTGGTTTTACAGATTTTAGGGAGGCATGAGACATCAATCAAATACGATTAAGGAATACATGAATACGTTGGTTTGTTTCAGAAAGGCAGGACAACTTGAAAACTGTCGGGATGGGGAGCAGTGTTCCAGGCTATAGGTAAATGTAAACATTTTCTGGTTGACAATTGATTGAGTTTTTTTCTAAGGACCTGGGATCAATAGAAAGGAAACGTTCATAAAAGATGTGAAAAACCAAGGTTCTTTCGAAGTCTCATAGTGGCTGCCCTTAGAAACAATAGATGACAAATGTTTCCTATTCAGACCCTTTAAAAGGTGCTAGACTCTGCCAGTTTTGGTAGACAACATATAACAGTAAGTGTACATACAAATAAACACATGTAGATGTGTATACACGCACATAAATGAAAATCCAGTAGCTTGGAATCTTAGCCAAGAGATAGCAATACAAACTTACTGGTTTTACTTTGCTCCAATAGATAAGCCAATGAAGGCTGTGAACCAAAATTTTGGGTAAAGCGGTCTCTATGGCAGTTTGCTTTTTAAAGGCCAGACCTCCCCAGACTCCAAAGAGTGCTGGAGCCAAACAGCACCAAAGGAGGGCATCACACATTAACCAGGCTCCCTGCTTAGAACAGCAGCACAAGTGGGATCCATGCAATGCCATCCCACTTTCCCAGTAGACAGTAAACTCCAGATTCTAAACAATTTGGGGGCCAAGCAGCATTGCAACTGCAAGAGAAAATTCTAAGGAGGGCTTTAGTACTAGACCTCAGAACCTCTGCCAAGAGCATCCCCTTTGAGGAGGTTGAGGTCTGCAGGATCCCCCAGAGCATCCTCCTGTGGGCTCCAATCTTAGAGTGTCAGACGTCTCTGACCTTAGGTGGGCACTGGCACCACTCGGCATGTGTTCCCTCCAGAGCCTGCTATGAGCTTTCCTTTGGTACCTGGGTGTAATCCCTGACTTTTAGCATCCTTATAATTTGATAAGGCCACGCCTTCCTATGCTTCCTGTTCTGTTAGAAACAAATTTTTGGTGCCGCAAAGTAAACCCAGCACTCAGGCAAAAGTTTTCTCAGCAAGGCAATTTACTTCTGTAGAAAGGCACTTCTTGCATACAAGGCAGAGGCAAGGGGGAGCGTACAAAACAAAGGAGAACAGGAGTTTCTTATCCCTAACGCAGACCCTGTTCCTGTGTCTTCCCCCTGTGGGCTGGGGTCGGACCGCACAATCTAGGCTAATTCCGATTGGGTACTGTTGACATCATCAAAGGAGGCGAGGTGGGCCTTTGACAGGAAGGACAGGTACATCTTGGGGTGCATCTTGGGGTGTTTGGGCACAGCAGAGAGAGGGAGGGCTGATAGATGAATGGGTACGATTACCTTTTAGAATAGAACAAAGAACCAGGAACAGAAACTCTTTGAAGAAGAACTATTAGTTCTTAACAACAATTTCCTCCTCTTGAATTTATACATTTCCCTCTTTAAACTTATCTAACATGGCTTGGATTTGTTGATCTTTCAAGGGAAATAATTTATTACTATAGGATTTGGAAGAACTAGAGAAGGTTCGGTTAATAGCTGTCTCTGTAAGTCTTTGGACTAGCCCACGAATGCAGGGTATGATGCAGCATCCAACAACTATAAGCACAGCTATTGCGATTGCGAGAGAGGTAACAATAGAGGCCATGAGTCCTTTCCATTTACCAAACCAAGTTCCTAACCATCCTGTGAAAGGGTCACTTATCCCAGAATTTGTGGCTAATTCATCTGATAAGGAGGTAAGACCTTGTAAAGCTTTTGTAATTGTTCCATCAGGGGCTGTATTGTTGGGAATGTAGGTGCAGCATTGGGTTCCTATCATAACACAAACGCCACCTTTTTCTGCTAACATCATATCTAAGACCATCCTGTTTTCCCAAGCCATTTGGCTAGTAGGCCCTAATTGTTCAGCTATTCCTTTGATAGCATCCCTAGTGTAATTAATAAATCGCTGCTGGTTATAATAGATGTAATTTATCCAAGCTACATTTTTATTAATAGCTACCATTGGAAGTAATGATTCAAATCCTGCAGCTATTGGGTTTCGGGCTTTGAATCTATCAGGTACCCCCCGTGGGACTCCAATTGCATCTATATAGACACGAGAGTCAAAAGATCCCTGAGGGGCCCCTCTTGTTTTACGGTGTTGTGGTTTCTCTTTTTCTCGTTGTTGAAATGCCAGGGTGAAAGGGATGGCCAATTGAATTAGAGCACAAGTGCCACCCCAGTTACTTGGCAGGGTGGTCAGTAGGGGTCCACCACAATACCACCATACATCAGCTCGGGGATGAATAAGGGGAGACTGATTGGTAAGCTCTTGGAAAGACTTAACCTCACTGCATCCCTTTAGGTCCCCAAGAAACTCCAAATTTTTTCCCCGTCGTGAGAGACAGGAAGTAAAATTGGCATCTGGAGATGGAGGCTGGATCGCCCTCGGGAGCTGATCCTCACTGTGTGGAATTTCAGGGAATAGCACAGACAGAACTCGACAGAATTCGCTATCCCAGGCTGTGGGGTGTTGGAAAAGAGCCACCATGCAGCCCATGCCTGGTTTGTCGGAAGACCATCCAACTGGAAAGGGGACAACTTGGGCCTCTGGCCTGCCTTGTGCACAAGCATAACAGTCGCTTTTGTTTAGAGTGCGAACAGAATATTCAATCCATTCCATCCAGGCATTTGCATCTTTGTATCCTCTTTCAATTGTCAGTGTTTGTTTTAAATTTTTCACCTCTACAATAGCTACTTTGGTTTTGTCATTAGGTGGAGAAGAGACAGTGGTCTGGTCAGCAGGTATAGAAGGGTGTAGAAGTGGAGATGTGGGGGACGGAGATGTAATGAGGTGCAACTCGAAGAATCCTATGGGGTCTTTCCCTGTTACATCTGCTCCCATCCCATAGAAGCGGTTTAGGGTGGGGGAGGAATCTTGGAGAGTTGGGATGGTGATGGAAATTTGCACCGGGTTACATTGGTTATATTGACAATTGGGAGGGGCACTTCCTTTAGTAAAATGGATATAGGGCCTTAGAACCGCTAGCGGGAAATCTGTTGAGGGGACCCAATCTTGGCGTTGAGTGACCCAAATGACTTCGTCCCAAGTTGGACAAAACGGAAACCTAGACAAGCTAGAAGCATCTGCTTTAGAGGGGCAGAGATATTTCTCCGCTGCTGTAAGCCGTCTCTGGCTTTGGAGATCCCCACAAGGCATAACTAAACAAGCATCAAAGGTAATCGTCTGGGGTGAGTCTGATCTAGTTACATTAATAATGAGGTGGCTAGCTAGAGAACAAGGAAAGAAGAAGGAGTAACAGAATAGATGAAAGAGAATTAAACTTTCCTTGGCTTTAGTTTGGTAGGATTTTCCCCTGGAACCATGGCCCATGGCCCTGGAGAGGGCGACGCTTTCTTGACTCGGCTGTGATGGGTCCATCCTTTCTCGGCGGTTCGCACTGCAGTTTCAGTTGTTAGGAGCACTAGATATGGTCCCTCCCAGGACAGTTCAAGTTGCTCTTCTTCCCAGCTCTTATGGAGGACGTAGTCTCCGGGCCGGTGCTGATCAACTGGAAACTCAAGAGGCGGGGTTTGCGCTAAGAGACCTTTAGTCCTGAGGGAAGATAAAGTAGAAGATAGACCAAGTATGGAATTCCTACAGAATTGATCTTTGGTCTCAAAAGTGGGAATGTCACTAGTGGAACTTAAGTATGGTAACCCACAGAGCATTTCATAAGGGGATAGGCCAATGTCTGTCCGAGGGGCAGTTCGGATCCTGAGTAGAACGACGGAGAGACACTTAGTCCAGGGTAATGGAGTTTCTAAAATTAACTTAGATGATTTTTTAGAGTCTGATTCATCCTTTCTACTCTTCCTGATGAGGATGGATGCCAGGGGGCATGATACTGCCATTTGATTCCTAAAGCCTGAGTAAGCGCTTTAATGATATTTGCAGTAAAGTGAGTCCCATTGTCTGAGTCCATGTTTTCTACTGGCCTGAACTGAGGTATTATGTTCTCTAGTAATATTTTAACCACATTATTAGCTGTTGCACTGGGGAGGGGAATGGCTTCAACCCAATGAGTGAGGTGGTCTAATATTACTGTTAGGTATTTAAGGCAACCTAGTGGGGACATTTCAGTATAGTCAACTTGAATGCTTTGAAATGGCCTTAATCCTGAGCTTCTGCCCCCAAAAAGTTGTTTCCTTGGGGCTGGTTTGTTTGTTTTCTTACATGTTAGGCAGCTGGCCACAACTTGTTTTGCGAAGGTGTAAATTGCATCCATAGACTCTGAGAACTGCATCACACATAGCTTGAGGTCCCCAGTGAGTCCTTTGGTGTAGTTGGAACAGGATTTCTCTCATAAGTGGTTTGGAAAGCATTTCCCTTGGGTCTGGAAAAACCCACTTCCCTTCTGAGTTTTCCTTAGCCCCTAGATTCTCTAACTTCTCCTTTTCGGTGAGAAAAAAGATAAGGATTGCAACTGGGGGAGAGAGACAGGGAGTCAGGTGGAAGATAGGCGCTTTTTGAGAGATGGCAGATTGTTTTGAATTTGATCCACAAGGTTATTCCCTTGGCTTTCAAAGGCAGAACTTTTCAGTGCCCTGGGACATGCACAGTAGCTATTTCTTCTGGTCATTGTAAGCTCTTTAAAACTTGAGTGATTAACTATTTGTGGACAAAGTCCTGACCTTTGCTGTTAATAGTCCAAATTTTTCCAAAGGTGTGCACTACCCCAAAGGCATACTTGGAGTCGGTATAGATGGTACCTTCTTGCTTTTGTAAATATTTTAGAGCCCGATTAACATGAATAATTCACAAGTCCGAGCAGACCAATTATTTGGCAGTCTTCCAGATTCTATTTCAGCAAGAACTTCTCCATCTATGACAGACTATCCATTCTGTCTTTTTCCTTCAACCACCCGGGACACGCCATCTATAAAAAGATGACGTCCTGTTTTAAAAGATTTCTCTTAAATCAGGTCTAACCTTAGAATGGTAATCAATGAGATCTAGGCAGCCACGTTCAGGATCTTTGTGGTTCGGATTCCCAGTTAGGAAAGCAGCAGGGTTAAAGGCACTGTCAGTGGTGACAGTGAGGTCATCTTTTTCTAATAGAATGGCTTCATATTTTAGAATTCTTAAGTCAGTAAGCCATCTACCCGCCTTTTGGTTTAATATTGTTGTAACTTGATGAGGTGTGCTAACACTTAATTTACCCCCAAAGGTTAGCTTTTTACTTTCCTCAGTCAACAAAGCAGTGGCTGCTATAGATTGAATACATCCGGGCCATCCACAGGTTACTGGGTCTAGAATTTTTGATAAAAAGGCCACGGGCTGCAGATGGCCCCCATGTTCTTGGGTGAGCACCCCTAAAGCTAATCCCTGATTTACACTGACAAAGAGTTGAAATGGTTGTTCGAGGGAAGGCAAAGTTAAAACAGGGGCAGTTTTGAGTAAGTGTTTTAATGCTTTAAAATCATTGACTTCCTCTGGGGCCCAAATGAGGGTCAGGTTTTTCTTGGGTAAGCTTGGAGTACAGAGACTTGACTTTTAGAGCATAGGAATCAATCCGCAAGTGGCAATATCCAACTAGCCCTAAACATTTTCTAAGCTCTTGTTTTGTACTAGGCAGGGGTGAGGACACAATTCCTTTGACTCTTTCAGGTCTTATTTTTCTCCTGCCCACACTTATCAGGTGCCCTAAATACTTGACTTCTGACTCCACAAATCGGAGCTTCCCCTTTGATACCCGTAATCCCTTCCCTTGCAGGTGATTGAGGAGACTGATGGAGAAATCAGATACTTGTTCCATGACTTTCCCAGACACAAGTATGTCATCTGTATATTGGAGCATGCATATAGACTCTGGACAGATATTTTCCCTAAAACTTGTTCAAGAATTTGGCCAAACAGGTTAGGAGAGCCTGTAAATCCTCGGGGCAGGACCATCCAGCAGTATTGTTGTTTCTGCCCTGAATGAGGATCTTCCCATTCAAAAGCGAATATGTCTCGACTGTCTTCAGCTAAGGGACATGCCCAAAAGGCATCCTTTAAATCTATTACTGTACACCAGGTCACATGGAATCTTGCTGAGGATAGTGTATGGATTGGGGGCAACAAGGTGAGTGGTTTGGACTATTTGGTTAATGGCCCGGAGGTCTTGTACTAGTGAATATGATCCATCAGATTTCTTTACAGATACTATAGGGGTATTATATGGAGACATACAGGGTTCAAATAACTTACCCTAAATAAGAGCTTCAGTCACAGTTTTCAAGCCTATCCTACCTTCTAGAAGAATTGGATGTTGCCTTCTCCTTACTATTTCCCCAGGAGTTTTCAACTTCATATGAATGGGGGGAAATTCATAGTTTCCCTCTGTTCCCTTCTTTTGACCACACATTGGGATGAATGTAACTTTCTTCTGCGACGGTGAGCAGGTTTAATGAAGTGACAAATCCTTCAGGGCAGGCATGCAAGCCTGTGTCTAGTTTTAACACTGGTCTCTTTCTAACAGGTTTGTTCCTGCTTCAGGGATTAGCAGGAATTTAATACTAGCTGATCGATTTTTGTGTTTAACTTCTGTTTCTTCTAAAACTTTGGCTTTAAATCCTTCCCCTTTTGTCCCTGAGACAAGAAGTTCCTCTAATATAAAATTAGAGGGCTGATAGCAAACAGAGGAGCTAGCAGCCCCTGAATCTATTAGAAAAGTAATAAGCTCATGTTTGTGTCCTACCCCTAAATTTATCAAGGGCTCTTATTGGGACTCAAGATAGAAAAGACAGAGCCCCTAACTTCCCTATTCCTCTTCAAATGCCATGAGCAGAACAATTTCTTTTTCCTTCCCCCACTCGGGGCATTCTCTTTTGAAGTGGCCTTCTTTTCCACATAAAGCACCTATCCTGTCCTCCCTCTCCCTCTGTCCTAGGATTCTTTGACCTTCCTCCCCGATACTCTTTAGAGGGCCTGGTAGCTGAGGGTCTGGGTCCCGTAGTTGGAGGCTTGGGTCTGTTGGAAGGTGGATAGCATAAGTTTCGCTTTTTGTTTTTGCTTTTCTTCATCTCTCCTCACATATACTTTTTGGGCTTCTCCTAGGGATTCCTCTGTGGACTGGTTTTTCGTTTTCTAGTTTCTGCAACTTCTTCGCTATATCTGGCCAGCTATTTGTGACAAAATGTAGCTTTAATATTCCTTATCCAAGAGGGTCTTCTGGATCTAAATCTGCATATTTCCTTATCTGTTCCCTTAGCCTTTCTAGAAATTTCATGGGCCCTTCATCTTTTTCCTGTTGTATGTCAAATGTTCGGGAAAGATTCTGAGCCTGGGGCACTGACTCCTGAATTCCTTTAATTATCATTTCCCTAAGATCTTGCATATTTTCCCAGTGGACTGCGTTATTTTCCCATTGAGGATCTTGGGCTGGGAATTTCTGGTCTGCTGCAGGAACGTTTTGGCCAGGAGAATATTCACATTCCCAAATTGTCATAGCAGCCCTGCAAATCATCCCCCTTTCTTCCCCTGAGAAGAGGACACCCAGGATGGACATTAATTTGGCCCAGGTATATAACTGGGGGCCTAGGAATTGATCTGCTACCCCGTATGGGTCATCTAGCAGTGGCTTAAGTTCTTTCTTTAAACCTTGAACCTCTGAACTAGTCAAAGGAGCATTTACAAAGCCAACAGCTCCTCCTCCCTGGGGCGCCTCTCTCAAAGGGAAGTGAGTCGGAGCTGATTCCTTAGAGGTAGAGGGGAAAGGAGGATTTTGAATATCCTTCTTACATGGTAGTCCCTTTAGGGAAGGATACTTAGGCTCACAAGGAACAGACTCGTGGGGTGGCGGTAATTCCCAAGAGTCAGAGTATAAGGGGGAGGAATAATAGGAGTAGCAGAAGGATCTGGGACCGAGTCCAGGGTGGCAGCAGCTGCCTGTGAAGGGGGCAGGTCAAGTGGGGGGGGAATTAAATGGGGAAAGGCGGTTTAGAGGGTTCCAGGCATTGGGATCCCTCAGCCTAGGGGTTGGTTTTACTATGCCTACTTTGGGGAGTGCGAAATCTGATCCTTCCCCTGCATTCTTTAGGGGAAAGAGGAGAACAGGTTGTTTTCTCCACCAGAGAGCATAGTCTCTTTCTTCCTGTGAGACCAGACTTTTGTCATTCACATACTGAATTAAAAGTTAATAGACCCAATCCTCATCTGATCCATATTTTGGCAAGAAGACAGTTTGAGGATGGGTTCCTTGGCCCAAATGAAACAACAATATTTTATCATCTGTTGCTTTTTCTTGTGCCTAGTTCTCTCATTCTCCTTCTAATATTTTAGCATGAGACCTAAAGAACTATCAGAGGGGATCTGACTATCCCCGTCCTTACCTTTTCCTGTTGTACTAGGAGTGTTTCCCATCTTGGAGGTCTTGGATGCCCCCTTGAGTGTGTGTGTGGCCCAATCTCTTACTAGAGATCTCTTGCCTTCCCTTTTCTCTAGAGGCTCAACCCCCATTAATGGAGGTTTCTTGCACTCCTTTCCATTTGCCTCATCCTATCTGGCCACTTCCCTCATGGGAAATTAGGTCCCTCTTACCATTGGCATGCTGGCATAAGCCCCACGGCAGGATCTGTCCTAAGCCATATGAAGATGAGGTGACCACAGAACCACAGATATGACCCACTCACCCCAGACAGCAGTAATGCCTATCACCATTCACACAAGCAGCACCGCAAGCAGTAGTGCCTGTGATCATTCACATACTTTCAACCTCCGAGATATTCCAACCACCAAGGAAATACTTCACCGCCCCCACGGCTTTTCTTACTTTGGTCTTGTGTGCAAAGTTACCTGGTCGCCACGGTATTTGTAGGCAAGGCTTTCCTTCCCGCGTTGCCGAGAGTCCGGGTTTATTCGTCACAGCAGGTGGAGTCCCGATCTCTAGCCCCTGAGGCCACCTCAGTGAGGCAGTGGGACGCGTCTCCCCCTGGGAGATGACCAGAGACCCCTTCCCCAGAGGAGAATGGGAATCCTGGGCAAGGCGCCAGATTGTTAGAAACAAATTGTCAGTGCTGCGAAGTGAACCCAGCATTCAGGCAAAAGTTTTCTCAGCAAGGCAATTTACTTCTATAGAAGGTCACTTCCTGCATGCAAAGCAGAGGCAAGGGAGAGTGTGCAAAACAAAGGAGACCAGGAGTTTTTATCCCTGAAGCAGACCCTGTTCCTGTGTCCTCCCACTGTGGGCTGGGGTGGGACCACACAATCTAGGCTAATTCTGATTGGCTACTGTTGACATCATCAAAGGAGGCGAGGGTAGGCGTTTGACAGGGAGAACAGGTACAGTGTATCTTGGGTGTGTTTGGGCACCTCAGAGATAGGGAGGGTTGATAGATGAATGGGTAAGATTACCTTTTAGAATAGAACAAAGAACCAAGAACCAAAACCCTTTGAAGAGGAACTATTTGTTCTTAACAACAGCAGCACAAGTGGGATCCATGCAGCGCCATCCCACTTTCCCAGTAGACAGTAAACTCCAGATTCTAAACAATTTGGGGGCCAAGCAGCATTGCAACTGCAAGAGAAAATTCTAAGGAGGGCTTAGTATTAGATCTCAGAACCTCTGCCAAGAGCATCCCCTTTGGGGAGGTTGAGGTCTGCAGGATCCCCCAGAGCATCCTCCTGTGGGCTCCAATCTTAGAGTGTCAGACATCTCTGACCTTACGTGGGCACTGGCACCACTCTACATGTGTTCCCTCCAGAGCCTGCTATGAGCTTTCCTTTGGTACCTGGGTGTAATCCCTGACTTTTAGCATCCTTGTGATTTGATAAGGCCACGCTTTCCCATGCTTCCTGTTCTGTGAATTTTAATGACAGGAACTGGAGGCTGGGTGGGTTTCTTTTGCCCTTAGCCAGTTGACTAGGAGAAGGGAAGAATTTAGCATAAGAAAAGAAAGTTTAAGTCCTGAAACATGCGAGTTTGCTCTGAGCTGTGCCACACGTAGGGATCAGGGACCACACTCAGAAAAATTTTTTTAAAAAAGAATCCTTTCCCATTCTGGACAGGCAATTATTCCCATTCATTCCTAGGCCTTCAGGCAATATTGGGGAGTGACCCCAGCCAATTACCCTCGATTTCCAGGGAGCTACTGGGAAACAGCCACTGAAAGACTGAAAAAGAAAGAGAGGGGAAGAAAAATGAAAAGACCCTGGTCCCTTAAGTGAACCCGGCGGTGACATTTAGGCTTCTCCACATGGAAACCCCTTTGTTTCACTGGCCACGGCCAGAAACCTGCAGTTGCTTTTGTGTTTAGGCGCTGCCTGCCAAGGATCCTGAGTTGGAAAGAAAAAGACAGAGAATGAGAGAGACAGACGGAGAGAGAGAGAGAGAGAGTGATTGATTCTCCTGTATGGAGCAGAAAGGAAAAGGAGAAAGGAGAAAAAGAAATCCCAAACTTTGGACTTACCTCTTCCTCCCCACCTGCTCACCAAAATATGTCACCAGTGGAGGGTGTCCAGGTTCTTGGCGCCTTGAACAAAGAATTGGACAAAACGCATGAACAAAACAAGGAAGGAATGAAGGAGTTCCCTGAAAATGAAAGTACACTCCACAGTGTGGGAGTGGGCCCAAGCATAGGGCCTGAAGGGCACTGTTATGGAATTTGGGGGAGTTTAAATACCCTCTAGAAAATTCCATTGATTACATTTACCCTATGTAAATGAAGAGGATGAAGTAAAGTTACAAAATCATTTACTTGGCCTGAGCCCTATGGAGAGGATATTTCCTGTCATAGCTGAAGTGCGAACTGGCCTTACGTTCCCTGCCTCGAGACCCTATTTTCCTGCCCCAGTAATAGTTGATGCTAACAGCTGCTGCCTCTTAAGGGCACACCAGGTACCTGGCACTGTGCTAAGGGCTTTTATAGCCATTCTCTTTTTAAATTTTGCAAACAATTTCAGGCGGTAAATGCTCTCGTTATCCCCATTGTACAGATGAGAAAACTGAGACTGAGAGAAGTCACTTGCCCAGCTGGTAAATGGCAAGGCAGGGTTTCAAACCAGACACATCTCCAAAGTCCACACTGTCTGCTCCAGAGGCCTCACTGTGTGCATCCTGCAATAATTCTGATGCCTGTAGGCCCACGAGGCAAAACATCCGAGGCCTCCTGGCCCTTGGTACCAGCCTGACATGTCAGAGTCTCAGAGAGGCGGGTTCCAAGCTCCTAGCCATAGTGGAAGAAGCTTTACAGTGTTTGGCACATGTTAGGTGCTGTGAATAAACAAATGATGACATAATTGCAAAGCCCAGAACTTGAGCTTATTATTTAATTTCTCTGAGCCTCAACTTGCTCTTCTGTTAAATAGGAATGATAATATCGTTTTGTTGGTGCTGAAGGAGGGAATAAGAAGCACATGTAAAGAGACAGCACCGACCCAGTGCAGTGGATCACACCTGTAATCCCAGCACTTTGGGAGGCTGAGGCGGGTGGATCACTTGAGGTCAGTTCTCAAGACCAGCCTGGGCAACTTGGTAAAACCCCATCTCTACTAAAAATGGAAAAATTAGCCGGATGTGGTGGCACTTGCCTGTAGTCCCAGCTACTCAGGAGGCTGAGGTAGGAGAATGGCTTGAACCCAGGAGGCAGAGGTTGCAGTGAATTGAGACTGTGCCACTGCACTCCAGCCTGAGTGACAAAGCATGACCCTGTCTAAAAAAGAAACAGCACCCAGCCCCCAAAAGAAACAGCACCCTGTCCCACACCCAGTCAGTGCCCTTGTTCTACCTCCATGAATTGGGCCATAGTTGCTGGAGCAGCGACTTCATCTATGCCCAGGGAGCTCTGGAGCCACGGTCACCAAGCTCACTTCTGTCACCTCTCAGCCTTTCCTCCATGTTCCAGAAAAGCAGGTGCCCCTGGGCCTACCCTCAAACTCCCAGGGTACCCTTAAGGAGGCCACAGGACAGAGAGCCTGCCATCACCGTATTTTGGGGGACATCAGCTCCAAGGCCTGAGTTTGTGAGTAGCTCAGAAGTGAGATGCTGTGGGAGGGAGAGCCCCAGGCTGGGAGTTCGAGACCCATCACTCAGAAGCTTGTGACTTGGGCAAGTCACCTGACCTCTCGTGGCCCCAGTTGTCTCCCCCATCAAGGGGATGTTAGCCAAGATGGAACATCAAAGTTCTAGACCTCTGTGGTTGCGCAATTCTAAAATCCTGCCCTACAGACTCCTCCAGAGCCTAACTCCTGGAGGTCGCAGGTGATGTCACAGAGGCATATCATATGCCTTGTGTCACCTCCAGGACATGGCACAGAGGGGTGTTGCAGTGGATGCTTGTCAGTCCTGGCGTTTAATTAGACATGTGTCCCCAGCATCATGCTGAACCACAGGCCTGGTCCTGAGCAAGCCTACCCAGGCCCCTTCCCCTTCCCAGAGCCTCTTGGGGCCCAGGGGCTGGGCTGGGAGTCTGTTCCTGGAGCTCATTCCCCATGGCAGCATGGCAGCCCCCAGAGGGCCAAGCTGCACAGTGAAGATTCCCCAGAGCAGGACACCCCCGTCCCTCTCAATCCAGGAAGCACATTCTGTGCTCTGTCTGCGGCCTCTGCCCCCAGACATAAAAAAGGAGACACGTTCTGCTTCAAGGTGCTCACGCCAAAGTAATGCAAAGCCTAAGCGGACTGGCGTAAGGGCTCTAGAGGGTTTCCAGACCTGGCTGGGTCCCACAGTCACCAAGAGCGGGTTAAAAATACAGACTCCTCCCAGGAGATCCTGATTCAGTGGGTCTGGGGTGGGACACAGGAATCTGCATTTTTTTTTGGATGGGGGCTTGGAGTCTCACTCTGGCACCAGGCTGGAGTGCAGTGGCATGATCTGGGCTCACTGCATCCTCCACCTCACGAGTTCAAGCGATTCTCCTGCCTCAGCCTCCTGGGTAGCTGAGATTACAGGCACACACCACTACCCCCAGCTAATTTTTTTTGTATTTTTAGTAGACACAGGGTTTCACCATGTTGGTCAGGCTGGTCTTGAACTCCTGACCTCAAATGTTCTGCCCATCTCAGCCTCCCAAAGTAGGAATCTGCATGCATGTATTTATTTATTTATTTATTTATTTATTTATTTTGAGACAGAGTCTTGCTCTGTCGCCCAGGCTGGAGTGCAGTGGCCGGATCTCAGCTCACTGCAAGCTCTGCCTCCCGGGTTTACGCCATTCTCTTGCCTCAGCCTCCCGAGTAGCTGGGACTACAGGCGCCTGCAACCTCGCCTGGCTAATTTTTTTTTGTAGTTTTTAGTAGAGACGGGGTTTCACCATGTTAGCCAGGATGGTCTCGATCTCCTGACCTCGTGATCCACCCGTCTCGGCCTCCCAAAGTGCTGGGATTACAGGCTTGAGCCACCGCGCCCGGCCGGAATCTGCATTTATAATGAGCCTATCTCAGACCAGGGTTTGAGAACTGCTTCCAGGTGAATGATATCAATTGCTTAACTGGGGGTCTCCTAGGGGCAGACTTTGGGACGGGATTCATATGCAAGGGGTGTTTCAGGACTGCCCTTGAGGAGAAAGCAGGAGGGAGTAGGGGCAGGACTGGGAGTGGGAGAAGCCCAGTGAGGATGCGACTGCAGGGTGACCCCAATCTCAACCTGGCCCTGTGGGCGACTCTGGAACATAAAGTAAACCTGGGGCCACTCCTAGGCATGTGTGAGGCTCCAGCACCAGGACAATCCCTGATGGTCCTAAGGGCCAGCACTTAAGGCAAACCCCACTGAGGCTAGGGGATGGGTGTGTAGAGCTGGTAAAGCCATCAGGGTGGGTGGGGCATCAGCAGTGATTTCGTGACTGGCTGCTGCTGAAGGGGCATCTGTCCTGAGTGAGCCTTTGTGCTGTGACTGCCCACAGAGCTCCCTCTAACCGCTACAGCAATAACACCTTTAGGGATTACCACTTCAGTGACTCCAGCCCCCGGGGCTGTGCTGAGGATCAGACTCCATGATCCTTGGAAGGGGTTTAGCAGAGCACCTGGTGTGAAATAAGGGCTCAAAAAACAATCAAGCATGTTCTTATTGCTGTTATAGATAAAGAAACTGAGGCTGGGGATGTGACCTGCCTTGGTGTCACAGCCAAGTTCTGAGCCGACTTGAGCCCAAGTGTGTGTGACCCGCAAGCCCCAGCTGCTTCTGCCCAGGAGACTGACTGCCAGGCCTGTGGCTGGGAGGATGCCTGTGCTGCCGCCTTCCAGCCACTCCCTCCACATATGGGAGACATGAGGCCCTCTTTATGGAAGAGTGATGTTGGGAGCCAGGCAAGGAAGGGCAGGAAGGGAACTTAAGGCAGAGGAGACAGCACGGGCAAACGCCTGGCAGTGGGAAAGCTATGGGCAGCCTCAGGAGTGGCTTCATGGGCAGAACCGCATCATGGGTGGGAGGTAAGATGCTTGGAAAGCCTTGAACGCTGTGCCTGGGGATTGCATGGACTTCCTTCCGCAGGTGCTGTGAGCCTGTTGCTGATATCAGACTGCTCTTCAGCGAGCAACCTGGCCATAGCAGGTGGTGGGATTGAAGGAAGGGTAGAGCAGAGACCAGCAAGGGGCTGCTGCAGCCATACTGGCCCTGCGTGGAGGTGACTGCCCCAAGCAATGCCTAGGGGAACCAGAGGGGTGAGGGCAGCCACTGAGGGTGGGAGCAGGGGGAGAGCTCGGGTTTCCATCCTTGACGACAGGAGGACGAACATGCTTGATGGTTTCCTGAGTATTTACTTGGTGCCAGGTGCTCTGCTCAGCACCTTGCAAGGATCATGGGGCCTGATCCCCAGCACAGCCCTGGGCACTGCAGTCATTAGCCTCAAGAAGTGGGCGCCATTACCCAAAATGAGGAA